ACGATGAAAAGTATGCAGATGAAATAGATATATTACAACGTAGAATTATAACAGTTTACAACCCACGCAATCAACGTAGGCGCCATTACTCAATTGAAAGATAAGAAAGAGGTCGACAGTATTTAATGTATAATCTAACCTAGACTGGGATAATAAATTTACTTTTATTGCAATCAAAGAGATGTGCATTTGAATAAATGAAAGTAATTATTAATATCATTAATCACGATCTAACGAAAAATAAAAACTTGAACTCGATAATTACCAAGAAAGCAAGAGTTCCGGAAATTATTAATCAGATCGTTATTTCGAACTGTGGGGAAAACAAATACAAAAAATTTATCTCAATTTTTCGTTTCGTAAACGAGATTTTCAATGAATATTTACACACATATATCCTGTTTTACTTTAATATATAAAATTCTTAATAATCTTGTTCTTAATAAAATATGAAAATACATAAATAAATGATTAATATTTTCACAAAAATTTGAAATATCAAAGATATTATATTTACAAGCAATGAAAAAAGTATTAAATTATAAAGAAATATACATAATATCGTAAACCATTTTATGAAATAGATTTATTACTGTTTATTATCTGTGTTGTGTTTTTATGTTAATATTTGAAGGAGTTTTAAAACAATGGGTACCAATAAAATTCTGAGATATGCAAAATTAAATTAAAGACATTTTTTATTGAATTTCTCAAACAATTTGAGTTAGTGCAGTAAAGCACTATAGCGACATTGGTTGATCGGCGTTGATCAGTCTGGACGACGAAGCAGAATTGAGTGTATCATCGTTTCGTTATCACAATACCTTGTATCGTCAAACAACAACGTTTAAAATAAAAACATCCATAGAGAGAGAGAGAGGGAGAAGTATCAAACACAGAAATAAAAACGATGAAAAGTGAAAAAAATAAATAAAAAAAAAAAAGAATCGAATAAAAGAAAAAATAATCATTCATGAAAACAGATCGTAAAAAAAAAAATATCGAAATATTATTCATAAAATAACGTGAGATCTCTTTCAAAACATTTTCGACAATTTTCAAATCTCTTTCTCTCTCTCTCTCTTTCTCTCTCATTTTTTTTAAAGATCAGATAGCAAAAAGCACAATTGATAAATGATCACAATCAACAAACACAAAAAGCAGAATAAAACCGAGAAAAAGCATTCATCGAAATTCAATATGATCGATATAAACTAAAGTCAAATTTATTTTTCGTTGAATTCCGATTCAATTGCAATCGAATTTTTACAGAAGGAACTAAATATCGAATATAATTTTTCATCTCTTCGTTTCTTAGTAAAGAGTCGCTGGATCGTTTGATTAAAAAGCATACCATTGATTCTTTCATCCCTACACGTTGAAATCATTTTCACCAATTTTCATTTCAGTTGCATTCTACAAACATTTAATAATACAAAACACGAAGTTTGCATACCATTGCTCGCTCGATTTCCTTTAAAAAAAACAAAAAAAAAAAAAAAAAAAAAGGAAAAATAAACTCGACAACTCAATAACGAATAAATTAAACATTTTCTCGTTCATGAAAACTATAAATGGACAAGCTTCGGGTGCAAACAGTATTATCGTTTTGAACTGTATCGAGCTACGAAAACTCGTTCCATAAACATGTATCCGTAGCGACGGTGATGACGATGCATTCTCAAGTGAAAATCTTTCTTCCAGAAAGACGGATTACAAGTGCAATCTGATCGTTTTTCGACAAACGCTGCCAACGAATAATGCACTATCTCGATATATATATATATATATATAAAAAAGAAGAAAGAAAGAAGGAAAAATATGATATATTTTTAATGGATAAAAAAAAAAAATTAAGAGAGAAACGTCGACACAAATTTATTGATAAACGCTATACGATAGGGTAACACACGCTTTTGGTTACACAAGAGCGAACGTGATATCATCCGAACGACATTATACTCGAAGAAAAATATCAACGACGATGTTATTAAAGCAGCAACAATTATCTTTTGTTTCGTATTTGATACGCGGTTAGTGCTGCTTTAACAAGTGTCAACATCAATATTTATCTGTTGCTACTTAGCAATAAAACTTGCTACGTACTGATGAGAGCCAGCAAGAGAAAAATATTGCCAATATGATTCTTCGTGTAGGACTTTGCATTTCGTTGGTTAAACCTTCTCGACACGAAGCACGCACGCGCGTTAAGCCTAATTAGTCGTCAGTAATTCTCGCGGCTCGCTCTTTCGTTGCCTTCGAAATTGCCGCATCGTCTTAATATTTCCTAATGGTCTAAGTAGTAAATAAAAGGCGGACCGATTTAATACGCGATTTCTCTTATACACATATAGACAACGGTGATAATCTAAGTGAATCGCCTTATCATCTAGGCTTATATAGTCTAAATGAAAAAAAAAAAAAAAAAAAAAATGATGGGTGGTAAGACATGTTTGCCTCTGTGTGTATGTGTCTGTTAAATATGTATACGTGTCATATATTTTTCTTCACGTTTCTTCACATGTACGAAACGATGAAAGTTCGCGGAATCCGTAATGGCCTCGTCCTAAGTCAAGAAATCGTTCGGCTGTAAACCGAGAAGCGTAGCTCGGTTTATCGCGACATCATCACGCGATGCCCATATAATCGATTCGATCGATACAATGCTCAAGTACGATTAATTGATTAGCTCTACTGTTTTACGTTTTATAACTCGTGAAAATTCGCGCGATATCCTTTTGTCGTAATAAATAAAAGTCTCAAGGTTACATGTCTGAATCACCGTTGATAATTAGATCACGTTCCATATTTTTGATTACGTGATCGTTTCGATAACATCGATCTCTGCGTGAAAAACAATTTATAAAGAATACTAGCTAGAAATAAAGTCATTTGACAAATAATAAACGATGAATAATTACGAAATGATTAAAATTAAATTTTAACGTAAACTTTCACAGAATATGTATTCTATTTTGATTTAATAAAAATTGTAATTGACGTTAAAAATAATTTTTCATATTTTGTTGTTTTGATTTTAAAAAGAAAAGATCTATCTCATTTATAATATCGATCAAACAGATTTTTAATTGCAATTTTTAACGTATTGCAAAGAAATAAAGAATTGCTCTCTAATCTATTTATTATGAATAAAATACAAACTCAAGCTCAGAAACACGCAAGCATTTCCAATTAACATGATCGATATAAAAACTTTTGAAATCATAAAATTTTAATTAAATATTGCTAAAATAACAAAAGTTATTGAAAATTATTATCATAAAGAAATAAAATATATATTGTATAATTGGAAGATACATATATTTGTCAATACAACTAAAATTTAATCAATATTGCAATCTGATCATTCGAAATGATTTACTCAAAACTTTATGCTTAGAATTATATAAATATAAATTGTGCACAAGCTTTGAAATAATCTCAAATCAGAAACTTTAACTTATTCTTGTCTATGAATTTATATGCCGTTATGCGAATAAAAGATAATTTATCAGATTTTGTTAATCGCTAAAAGAAATATTCTAGATTTTCTTGAAAATAGCATCAAAGTACGGGAATTTCAATATATTTTTAAATATTGCAATATTCGTAATATAATTTTTTGAATAATGTTGAACACAAATTTCAAATAAAGATGAAAAGATTAAAAAATAAAAGTATAGTAAAGTTAACCAAATACAGACGGGCATCGCGTGATTGTGGTAAAAAAATATAGAATACGAGTTCCTTTGATCGGCGTATGATTCATCGTTGCGTCGTTTGATTACTACGTTACGATTTAAACAGTCACATCTCCTCTATTTGTCCGTTCACGATAGTTGGCGGCGAAGAGAAGCGTTATCTCATTGTAAACGTTGACGTTGAAAGTTAGAAGTATACGACGCCGAAAATAAAACAGTAAAATCGGATAAACGGTCGGAGAAAGAGAAAAAGAAAGAAATGAAAAGAAAAGGGAAATGATTAAAGGTGCATAGAAAAGTCGGGCAACTAAAGCAGTCGTGTATAGCACGAGCCAAGATATAGCGTGATCGTAAATTAAATTGAGTAACGGTATCGAAAGATGTTAGATTTTTTAAATTTTTACACACAATTTTTTTCTAAAATTCAATAAAATAAAAAAGAATTTACAAATAAGGAAAATATAAATATAAATTAATAATTCAAGAAATTGAGAGAAAAAGAATGTTAATAAATTGACTTGAATGATATTTTCATGTTTTGTACTCTACAATTTAAATTAATTATTATATGTCGATATCCGAACACGATTACTTTAATTAGTAATGTATCTTTATACATATCGGCCCGTGCTATATTTTTCGATAAATCTTTCTCTCGTGCGATAGAATTCTAGGTTGGTAGTCAAACACCGAGCTTATCGTTCAAGTCGATTCGCTTCACGACGCGAGCCAACCACCGTTTATTAGTAGTATGTTGTCATCGATAAGCAGACCGCGTGTATTCCCGACGTCAAGGTACAATCCTTTAGACCTACTCTCGTGCGTGCTTCACGAGTGCACGCACGTCACGTATACTACGTGTATACAACGTACACCGTTAGGAAGAAGAATCGTTCGACACGTAGTTTTGCTCGTTACCGTCAGTTACACTTGTTAATCACCGAGGTGTGCTAGCAACGAGGGCGTCATCGTGAAGACAAGTTGTGAGGGAGAAGGGAGAAGAAGAAAGAGGCATGGAAGAAGGGGAGTGTATGTCGTCGTATTTAATCACACGCACGTTACACACCTCATCGATACGTTGAAGCGAAAGAATCGATGATTTTTGGAACACGGATCGTTAAACGCGACCAATTCCTGTCTCACGCGGTCGCGCACGCGTCTACGCAAATCCGTTTCAACTTTGTTCCCTCTATCGACAAACTAATTGAATTTCCAGAGCCACCTTTCTTTCGCTCGCACTTACAATTTTCCCTCTCTCTCCGTCCTTCTCACTCGCTCACTCTCTCATGTCGACGTGTATTCATCACGCCACTGCTTTTCTTCCCCTCGCGTAACACACACAAATCTGTCGAAGAATTGTATTCAAGCACGGACAGACGCGAATGTTCTCTCTTTTCACCATACAAGTCGGACCAGCAGACACATCGAAAGAGAATCTCCGTTCCGTGTTCATTCTTCCGCTTGCAGTAACGTGCGAAAATCCTGTTGCAGCTTTGACTCGTGATAGCTCCAAATATCGCTGAAATCTTCTTCGTCCTCGTCCACTTCTTTCTCGAACATGCCTTTCTCTTCTTCGGCCATCGGTGCATTCGGCGAAGGCGAATAAAATTTGATTTCCAAATCTCTGTGACCGTTCGGCGACGTGATGATTTCCGTAGAAACCTCAAGCTCTTTAGGCGATTGTACGGTACCATTCACATCCATACCGGATAGTCCAATGTTATTCACAGGTATACCGATAGATTCACCGCGCCATAGCGTTCGACGTTTCCCACTCTCTGCCTGTCCCCTATCACCGATCACGCCAACATCTTTGCTAGGCGTGCTGATTTCTTCGCTGAAATAACTGGTCGGGTCGCTCCAGCTGCGCCTTAACACAACACCGGTGCTACCGGTGCTGTCCTTTTCTTGATGGGTTCGAGGATTATCACCGTTGAAAAGCCTCTCGATAGTTTGCTCCTGACAACTGAGACTTGGCCGAGACAAGAATAGCGGCATCTGAGAAAAGTGGCCGGGACAGAACTCGGTCGACGGTGACGGGGTCAAGAAGGGCGAGTAACAGTTCTGATCCACGTCCCATATGAGAGCCGAAGGATCACAATACCGGCACTGACACGGCCCTAATTCCTCGTTGATGCCCTCTTCACAACCCGTTGTCGTCGTTGTCGTCGTCGTCGTCGTCGCCGTTAGATCGTTATATTCATGCAGATAGCGCGGAACATTGTTACTACCGGCGTGATTATGGTGATGATGATGACCGTTATGTCTATAACCCTTTGGCGGAATGGTACGCATTTGCGCAGGCACGACGTTTCTGTTGTCGTCCAACACTTTCACTTCCACGTGTCGATGTGGATACCTTTGCCTCGCGTCTATCTCTTGCCCTGACATGCCAGTTGTTTGCACTCTACAACCGTACACGTTGCTTTCCCTCGCTATGGGTGGCCTTCTGTGATTTCTAAGGTGAGGCGGTGCGACATCGTAACGTTGCTCATAACAAGTTGGTACGTATGATTTCAAAGAAGTTGCGTTCGATTGTTCGGTAATTACGCCCGAATTCGACTGTTGTTGCTGCTCCTCGTGTTTTGTTACTTCCGCAGAAGTGACCGCATTGTTTGGCGGTTTTCTATCTTTCTTCCTGCGCTTTCGAGGTTTAATGATACGTGGCAAACTGTTCTCAGAATTATTCGATCCCGAACTTTCATCGCTTGCGATACTCAACGAATCGATATTCGCAATGTTTCCTGTTCCCGTTGTGTCTTTGGTCGTCGTGCAGTCCGACGATTTTTGATTCGTTTGTTGCTTCTTCGCAAGTTCTATTGGCCTTTGAGGCCGCGATGGTGGACACCTGACAGTATTGCTCATCGTACAGTTCGATGTCAGGGTATTCACATTATTGTGAACGTAACTATTAACCGCGCCTGTATTATTACAAATCGTATTAGTAATGCCATTAGCGTTCCCGTTGTTATGTATCTTGCCGCGATTGTGAAACCGATTGGCTAGAATCAACGGCGCTCCCTGCGTGTGAATGGCTAATCTAGAAAGTGGATTCTTGTGTAGATGAGCTGATACTTGCTGCTCGCAAGCCTGCTGTTGCTGTTGCTGCGGTTGTTGTTGTAGTTGCTGCGACGATGATGGCTGTTGCTGCTGTTGTCCAAGCGACGGTGATGATCTTTGATTACATCTACGTGGACTGGATGTCATCGATATCAAAGGAGCGCCCGTCCAACCACCAGGTCCATATTGCACCTGGCATTGTTCGGTTCCGTTCGGAAAATTTTGATTTCCGTAACAGCCTCGCGTTTTCCCGCGAATCACAGGTTCCTGTTTCCTACCGACGATCGGTTTATGCGGTCCTGGTCTGATGGTTGACGATATCAAACAACTACCGATGTATCGCTCCACCTCCACGCCGCCTTGGGAGGCTGGGCTCATCTTACAAAAACCCGCGATCACTTATGTTATCAACACCGTTATATTCTCAATTATGATTATCAGCAAAATTCTTCACCTCACGAATATTCCAATCGATATGAAATACGTCACATTAACACGTTATTCCATTGACCCAAATCCGGATAACGTTCTCAACGCTCGAACTGAATATCACCGGTTTAGCCCATTGTCATGGTGAACTTCTTCATATCGATTCCACAAACAAACAAAAAACTTGGACACTGATTCGGTCGATTTTAGCTAATATAAATGATGATTTTTTGTTTATATGCGTAGCATATGAACGATTGTGTTCCAGACGGCGAAAATAACCGGTAATTACGGCGACGACGGTTACGTAGTTGAAACACAGTATCAAAAGTCGAACAACCGTACAGAACCGCGGCTGAAACGACACTGAAGCTCGCTCTGCCGAACGCGCCTACACCGTCTTTCGAATTGGTCTGCGACGTGGAGCTCCCCCCACTATTCTCGTTACTACTCCCACCACCTGTACCATCGACAGATATATCCCCACCATCTATTCCTGCTACCACCTTCTTTACAATGTACCTCTCCACACCGTTCAACTTTACCATGCGCGAATACCGCTTATATACACATAACATTGTTCCTTCCGGTGGACGAGTCTGTCACAATTTAGCAAGGTATCGGAGAAAGCTGAGTAAGGAAGGTGTAAGTTGCGTCGTGGTTAGCGTTAGTCGCTGGAAACTTTTCGAAGGCATCGACTAGTAACGACAAATTTCATCCGTCGATTTCATTGTTCGTGACTTACATGCATTTTATTATGATATATGATAGATATTATAGATAATTCGAATATTTCTAGTAACTACTTGTCATTATATAATTTGTCATTATATTTTATAAAAGTAAATTAAAAGAAGTTGAAGAAAAATAAAAGTTAATGATTTTTCAAATTTTTGCATCTTAAATTCGTAAAATAGCTTGAAATAATTGGAAAATAATTCAATTACATTCAGTGATTTATATGATGATGTTTTAAATGTATCGTTTATGAAAAAAGATAAGATAGGATCTTTTTCTCGTTGTATTAATTATTAATGGCCGTAATACTACCTAGAAAATTATGAATATTATATTTAATATTCTTATACTTTTTAATAAATAAATAAATAATGTATTAAATTATATATGTATAAATGTACATATTTTGATTTCAAATGCATTTATTATTTCATGCAATATTTCTCAAATTTCGATTTTTAAATTATTATATCTTTACATATAATTTACATACAGATAAAAAGAATGTAAAATAATTACATATTATATAATTTTCATATAAAAATTCTCACATTGTGAAAAACTGTAAAAAAAAAATCGTAAAAAAAAAGATTATAAAAATTATGAAATTATGTATGTATAAATAATCATTAAACAACGAAACAACGGAAGAAAATAATCGAAAGTAATTTAAAATGATTTATCACATTTAAATTCTGTCAGCTCAAAGCTCTGAAAGGCGGCTCCTTCAAGAATAACATGGAAGAAAAAACACGAGAAAGAAGGATAAAACATGGATTCTGCGAGAACACGAGTTATATTTCAACTCTCCGAAGAATCCTCATCCGTGAACTTACTTAGATGGAACGGCGACGAGACTGGAAAGAGTAAAGGAATAGAAAACGAGGGGAAATAGTCGGTTGGTAAAAAAGGAAGGAGAGAAGGGAAGTCTGATATCTTAGATCAGACTATGGCACCCTCGCATCTAGGTCACAAGCCTTTAAAAGTGGGTCACAAGTCATCAATCGCTTGCGGCACGCTACCTCAACTCGTAGTTGAACCCTCGCATACGACTCATCTATTCTCCTCTAGAACGATTCTTCTCGCGACTCATCTAGAGCGAAGTAACGCGACGTTCGGTCCCTCTCCTTTCCTTCTTTTCTTATCGTCTTCTTCTCGCGAACGCTACGTTTATTCGTCAATAGTAGAAAGCACGATCACGAGATTCCACGCCAAGAAACACGGCGACGAAATTAACACGTTACCAAGCAACAGCGCAGTTATATAGTTTATTATATTTTCTGGGAATTCTATGTAACTATATTTTTTACTTTTTTGTGGAATACATTTGAAACTTATACACGGATGTATATCAATAGTTAGAGAAAAATATTTAGTTCTGTTTATTATAGAAAAATATTTCTATTTTTAATGTATTCATTTTCCATTTATGATAGAGGAAAAAATAGGAATATTCCTTCTGTTTTTTAATCTAGGGAGTAGCGAGTATTCATTAAAAAGCTATATTCTCGAACCGGAATTCAGGTTGTAATGAATATCCGGATAGTAAGAATACTACTTTTAGAGAGGTTTTATTAAAAGAGCTATAAATAAACAAATCAAATGAATAATTTTAAGAAATTTTATACGAAAAATATTGCATATATAAATATTGTAAATTTTAAAAAAACTTCTAAATTTTTTAAAAATCGGACAAAAAGAAATTTGATATTATAATGTGATTGTTTTTAAGAAAATTACGAAACTATGTTAAAAACTTAATGAATACAATTACAATGTTTAATTAGTCAACAAAATAATCATGCAAATAAATTCCGAGATACGCTTTTATCGATGAATAATACTGAATAATAAATAGTGATTATTGATTTGATGCTCAGAAAAAGTAAAAATAATAATGCTTATTCGTTGAATTCTTCGATACTTTGATCAACATGATTCCTGTAAATGTATCCAAGCAATTTGTAATTCATAAGAAATCAATACGAAACAAACCACGATCTTTTAATTTCCTTTGCGAGCCAAGGCAAACTTTGTTGTGCTTCAATAAACTTCACTTTGCATGCGAGTATTCGATGCAATAAATTGTTTGATATTGAGTATATCAAACAAATTTATGTCTTATTCATTAGTTTCAATTGATAATCAATATCGATGAAAGTCAATGCAGTATATCATACGATACTGGGATCGACAATTGTCAGATGGAAATCTCGCGTTTGTAACATGTAATGATTGTTCGTCTTATTACATGGTATAATCATCTTTTGCGATATCAGAGGAAAATTTTAAGAATTTTAAAATAAATGGTCCGTTTAATGAAAAATTTAATGACGATTTCAAATTTTTTAAATGCTTTTAAATTCGAAGATTTATCTTTCAATTTTAAAAGGAATTTCAAACTCTTAAATCTGAAAGTAATTTTTAATTTTATTTCACATTAAAATTGATAAAGAGATAATTAATAATCTTTTTCTTTTTCTTCATTTTTTTCTGAAAAAATTGCTAAAAAATTAAATATTAATCAAAATATAAAATAAATATTTGATATATTTACCATACATTATGAACTTCCGATAATAAATTATTATTTTATTTATTTATTTCTAATTTTGTATAATATAAATATATAATTTTTATTTTAATAAGTTCTGATTAGTTCTGTATAAATTACACTGTTTTACAAAAAAAACATTTTTCCATATTTTGAAAAAAAATTTTATCTCAAAAATTTAATAATTTAATTATTTCATGTTATTTATTTTAATTTTTAAAAAATTAATTGGTTGTCTAATGACTTGCTCGTTTATATTAATATATTCAAATTTGCTTCAAAGATTTTCAAACAAAAATTTTAAAACAAAACATTTTGACCGCAAAAATTAATTTCGACATGAAATTCGAGCGAAGTAAAAATACCCGGCCTTAATGAAACACGATACATTTCCTAGGTGTATGGATGACGCGTGAACTTGTAAAGAAAGCTTTCTCGGTTCGTCATAAATGTACTTCTTCCTATGAAATTTATCATAATTTTATAAGCCACGCGAGTCGTGAAACTCATGGACGTCTTGGCATACTTTCCTAACGGGTATTCCGTGTAAGAAACTAATCATGCCTGACATTATCGGCTCCCAAGTTGAAATGTACGCCTTCGAAACAGCGATACGTGGTGTTTTTGTGAAAGAGAAATGACGCATATCAAAGAGAGCAGAGGAGAAGTAGACGGCCAAGCGCTACGTGAAAGTGCGCCGCGTGACCGTTGTGAAAATCTCGGTCGATACGTACGTCTCTGAACGAGTGATTTTACGGTGAAAGCGATACATTGAAATATATTCACCAATACCACGCGATGGCGAAACGCTTTCGTTTCTCGCTTCGAATTTACCGACAATCAAATGTTTCTTAGCTGTCCTATATTTTATAAGATGTGAAAAAGTGGTTTATAATTTGAGTAAATTATTTTCGATATGATAAAAAAGAACAATTAGATTTCTTAAAGAATTGATTTTTGCTAATCATTAATTTTCTTCGATTAATAGAATTACATAATCTCGAAATTTTAACGTTAAAGCCTCGATCTTTAAAATCTTATTGGGAAATTTCCTCGAACTTATATTATTTTTTTCATGCATTTATGCTGAAGTTGTTTTTGGAATAAATATTTGGTGATGTATTAGAATGTATTATTTACTAGAGTGTTCTAATAATATATTTACGTCGAGAATTGTTGCGTTTACTAATGCTAAAAAAGTAAGTGTTTTTAGAATTAAGGTCTCGTTCTTTTGTAAAAACAAGAAACAATAAACTTGAATGAGATAGAAAGAATAGCGATATTTGACTGTTCCCAACACTGATGCTCAAAAAACTAATGACTCTGTGTTTATTATAAAAAGAAAAATGCGTCTACTATTTCGTCTACTAATTAAGACAGCATATTAATTTTATTTATTTGTGTTATAAAATTGATATTATAAAATAATATATAATTAGATTCAGAATTTTTATAAATTCATGTTTTTATACAAATATATATATTTTTCTTTTCTAATCTTATATTAGTTTTTTTTTATAATTAAATATATACAATATTATAAACAAATTTAATCATTTTCTAAATAAAAATTTTGATGGCAAAATATTAAAAATTAATATTATTAAAAATTGCAAAAATGAATTTTAAACTTTATAAAATAAAAGAATTCTAATACAATTTTATTATTATAATATATTATATATATAATTATTTTTTTTAAGTTAAATATTTAAATTATTAGAATCAATAAAGAAATTAATGCAAGTTATAAAAATATTTACATAATAAAATAACATGTACATGTATCTTATATATTTGAAAATAAATTTTAAATAACATGACATTTTATATATTAATTAAATATTTAAATATTTTACTTGCATAAAAATCTACAATGTAATCATGATTTTTTTTATGAAATTAAAATTTACATTTTTATATTTTTTACTCATCATATATTATCAGAATACATAAAATAATTAAAAAAAATTTGCATCTTCCAAAAGTTTAATCAAATTAAATATTAAGATATTTTTTTACTATTTTTTATAATAAACATTACAACATGTATCATATACAAAATATATTGGAAGTTTTCAAAAAAATTAATCATTATTACACTATAAATAAACACAATAAATTAACCGGAAAATATATACTATATATAAATAGTTAGCACTTAAATGCAGTTGTCAAATGAAACGTGATAAATATCTATACAAAAGGCACGATCGCAGGCGATAATTCTCCATGCAATCTTAGAAACCGATTAGCGAACAATGATAATTTGAATATTGTAGTTAATCGTTAATTCATCTCTATTACTGCGAGTATTAAAGCGTTTTACGATTAAGATTGTGAGATATGTCAAGAAACTTGACGACAGTATTCTTTTCACGAAATATGGCGTTTATGGTTATATAAGTTACGTAAATAATTATGGAATCTTTTATGGAATGTGGTTTTAGTAATATGGAATCACG